GCTTCAGTGACCACACGCAGCCAGGCATGTGCATGTACACGCGTGCATATGTGGCTCTGTCCACATGTGTTTTCCGCCCCGGCCTCTGTCCTCACCAGCGTGGTGCCCAGTCATTCAGGTGCACGCGCGGGAGACACCCAGCCCCTGTCTGTGTCTTCCAAACGCCGGGGGTGTGACCCTCTCTAATATCCAGAGACAGCTCTAGGCGCCTTTTTGAGAAAATTCTCTCTACTGATGTTTCAAGTAAACCTATGCGAGAAGGAACTGGCTTACACAAATGGATACTTTTTAATTTTTTTTTTTTGCCTTCCCAGAAACTCTATTAGCCGAGAAATCCAAGTGGAATTTGTGGGCTGTGATGCCCTAAAGTTGACAGAAGGCCGCTTCCCTAACTCTTTTAAGTAGCTGGCTTCTTTTTTTCTTTACAGTATGAGGAAGGCAGACCCTGCCGAAGCAGCCCGGCCTCTGAAGGCCAGCTGCACGCATATTTGAGTCCCCAAATTGAAACCTTTCAAAGAGCCCCTCAAGCAGCACTGAGTGTGGGCAAAAGCATGATTCTAAACGCCAACGGGACTCCTGACAACGGATGCATTTGCTAAACCCACAGGCCGTCTGGTTCGGGACAACTACCCCGTCATCAACGTTCAACCTTGGCCTTGGAACCTGCTTGGAGTCGACACAAAGCCCCAGTGTGCACAAGCTTCAATCTGAGGCCGCAAGAGCTTACTCACGCAAAGCGGGGCAATGCTCTGAGACTACACTGACGTGTGGCGGGGTCCCATTGGGATAGCCATGTCATAGGTTTAAAACATGCAAGGCAGAGGCCCACCGAGCATACGGAGCCTGCCGAACATCAGAGCGGCATGGAGCTGCCCAGAACGTGCCGCGAACGCTGACGCGGGCCTGCAGTGGGGCAGAGTGACCCCACACAAAGCCTGCCCTGTGACAAAGCATTGACTGTCGCATGGGTGTGCACAGGTGCTTTGTGCTGATGCTTGGACGCACAACCCCCAGACACAGCATCAAAGAAACCCCGGGGCAACGGTGCACTGCGGGGCGTGGGTCTCCCTCGGCCCGAGAGGCTGACCGGGAGGGGCACGCGCCACTGCTGCCCAGCATCAGAGGGAGGCTCGGACAGCACAGCGCCAGCCCCAGACAAGATCTGAGTCCACGGCTCCGAAGTGAACGTGGATCCTGCACCTTCACAAACTCGAAACTCCGGCATCAAGCCATCACGGGTCACGGGTAACCACTTGAAGGGCCGCTTCTGTGGGGTTACAAGGAGTGCCGAGATAAAGTGAAATGAACAAGAAAGCCCCCGGAGACGCAGGAACCCTAAGCTTCGGCTCACCAGCAGAGCGCCTGAGTTTGTACCTCCAACACCACTCTCCAGCCTCCCTGGCAAACTTCAGGGCCCTCTTCTTCACAAACCCAGCACGGCAGGGTGAAGACTCAGAAGCCGCCCACAGGAAAGCCAGACGCCCTGCGCGCCTGTCCCCCACGGGCACCCCAGACCAAGGGCAGGGCTGAAGCACAGCCCTGAGGATGCATTTGGATACGTCTGCTTTTAGGCAGTGGAATTCCTTTCTCGCCTAAGCCCCAAATTACAATGGCACAGAGCTCACAACTTGTCTCCCTCCGTGACACATCCAGTGAAGAAACCCAAGGGGTCCAGCACCGTGCCCTCTCACGATCGCCCAGCACCGTTCGGCTTCCCGGGCTCAGGCATGCGGCTCCAACAGCCTACAGAGAGACGGGCCTCGAGGGCAGGTGGCTAAGGCCCTGGCCGGGACACCCACACCCCACATCAGAGTGCATAGGTATGGGTCCCCGCTCTGCACCTCGCAAGGCAGCAGTGATGGCTCCGCTGGACGGGTCCCCGCCACCCACGCAGGAGACCTGCACTGGGCTGCCAGCTTCCAGCTTTGGCCTGGTCCAGCCCCAGCCATGCTGCCATCTGGGGAGTGAGTCAGCAGAGGGTATTCTCTCTCTGCCTGCCCCTCCCTCCCTCCTCTCCATGGAATAAAGACACACAGAAGACACACAATTTCAAAAGTAAATGGAGGAGGCTTCATTCCCAGTCCCAGTGGTCATGGCGGGCGGCCCCCCTTCCTCAACTCCCCCCCAGAAAGGCTCTCTGCTGGGAGGTCAGGGGCCACATCTCTGCGGGCCACCTGTCCTGGTGCTGCGGGTGACACAGGCCAGGGTCCTTCCTTGGGTGGAAGACTCCGCAGGCCCCGGTGCCCAGACCAGGCATGGAGACCCTCGCAGCACCAGCATGGCTCAGGAACGCACCTGGGGGAAGCCCTCTCCTCCCCTACGGGTGCAAAGGGAGGCTTCTCCACTAATTAAAAAACAACAGGAGACCAAGCAAGGGAGAAAAACAACCCCAGCTAGATCCAGGCTATCCCAAAAGGCCCCGTGGCTCAGCTGGGCCGGCAGTCGGGGCAGGGGCAGCACGGACACCCGTGCCCACCAACTGGGATGCAGCCGCATGTTTGGCCAGCAGGCGAGAGGAATGTGAAGGGCAGCTGTGGCCTGCACAGGTCTCGCTGCTGGCCCGTCCGCTCACCTCCTGGGACGGCAGGGAGCTCCCCCAGGATGTCATCTCCGTTATGACTGAGGCTGGAAAGCAAAAACGCAGTCAGCAAGTGCACAGACGGAAGCACGTGCCCTAGGAGGGAGGCGGGCGGCCCTCCGGTAGGGGCGGAGCCTCTGCAGAGCCGCCTCCCACTGGACGGTCATCAGCAGAGCCCTCATGTGCTGCCCCTACTGTCCTTCCCACTCCAGCAAGGCCCAAGGAGCCCTGGCAGAGCCTGGAGGTAGGAAGGGGAGAGGGGGCCTTCCCCTGGGGTTTTTTCAACATGCATCCATTGCTCCATTCGGTCAGGGCCTCCTAGGCACAGGGGAGCTTGGTGAAGCCCCTGCGAACCTGGGAAGCCCCACTCTGCCACATGCATGGACCCCTGGGAAGGCCAGACGAGAAGCCTCACACCCCATCCTGCCAGCTGCTGTCCTGGCCCTGGTGAAAGCACACTGGTCCCCCTTGGGGATCCCATGTTGATTCTCTGTGAGAGGCGCCACTGCCCCCCACCAAGGACATACAAGGGCCAAGGCCTCTGTCACCCCCATCACCCCTGCACAGGCGGCTCAGGCCAAGGCCCTGGACTGTGAGCTGGGGACAGAAGGAGGTCATGGCCCTTGGCCACAGTCGGGCTCTACCACTACCTCTCTACATGGGGTTTGTGGCCTCACCCTTCTGAGCACCCCAGGTGCTGCTGGCGTCCCAAGCCAGGCCCCCCAGCCTCTCCTGATCTACACCCCTTTTGCCCATTCCTCACAAGCAGGAGTTCACACTGGCAAATGGGCTGATGCCAGCTGGGTAGTGGAGACGGAAAGTACTCTTCATAGAACCCGAAACCCACTCAGCACCTCAGAGCACCCTCTCAGGTGTCACTCGCATTAATCTCTGGGGTCTAGGGCTTAAAGGCTTCACATATGTATGTATGTATTTATTTATTTGAAAGGCAGAGAGAGAGAGAGAGAGAGAGAGAATGAGAATCAATCTTCTGGTTCACTCCACAAGTGGCTGCAGTGGCTACCGACGGGCCAGGCTGGAGCCAGGATCCTGGTCCTCCATCCAGTCTCCCACAAGGCAGGCAGGGGCCCGAGGACGTGGGCCATCGTCTGCTGCTTTCCCGAGCACATGGCAGGGAGCTGGATCAGCAGCAGAGCACCAGGACTGAAACCGGCACCCACACACCCTTGCAGGGGCAGGCTTAACCTGCTGTAGCACAGCGATCGTGCACTTACAACCACACGTTACCTCTCGGGAGCAGGGACTGGGGAGCGGCACCAGGCAGCCCTCTGCAGGCTGATTCTATCCTAATCTGAGTGGTGGTTTCCAGAGGACGGCTTACATCGTAGCAAACGACAGAAAGCCACTGAACCACATGCCCAAGGTCGGTTCCAAGGGCAAATTTCACATATATGCCACAATAGACAAAGATTAACATTCAAACACGGCTATAAAACTGTGTCAATAAATACAACTCAAAAAAAAAAAAATCCCAGCATAGGCATGCATCTACAAGTCCACCAAGATTTGTGCTTGCTACACTGTAGGAATCACGCCTCAGTTAAAACAAGACAGCGCTGCTGCCAAATTCCTCCACCGTGGGGACCCCAAAGCTTTGCTCGCTGTCCCCAGGTACCAGACACCCCACCTTCCACAGCACTCGGGGCAGAGCAGCGCACGCCCGAGCTGCAGCCAAGATTCCAAAGCAGCCGGCCAGACTCGGCGTCGGCAGCCCCGTCTACGGCACTCGGATTTTTCAGTTCTGGGCCATCAAACAGAATAGCAAAGTAGACTGGATGTTGGACAACAAAATCAGAAACCGACTCGACAAACAGCCACCAGGGGCTCGGGAAGGGGCGGGAGGGGTGGCTCTGCGGGGACAGCCAGAACCAGCTGCCCTGATGGGGGCGCTCGGCTGTCCAGGGCAGGATCACTCTGTGGGTACACAGCACAGGCACCCCCGGCTCGGCAGGCAGGGGCTCGGCTGAGGACGAGGGGCGCTTTAGAAATCACGGTGGGGTGGCTGCGCCGTGTTGGGGACGGAGAGTCGCAGCCATGCGGGGTGGGCTCCAGGACCCCTTCAGATACCCAAGTCGGCACATGCTCGAGTCCCTGACACGGATGGCAGGATATCCACATAGAACCAGCACGCATCCTCCCGTATACTCATAGCCATCCCCAGGTTACTTGGCATACCCGATCGGCGCTAGAGCTGTCACACCACAAAGTACGGCCTGATGTCATTTTTCAGTCGCATTCTGTGGAGGATATGCCTTCTGCTGTGAGTGATTTCAAACCATTTTGGAAAACAAACAGAAGTCAATAAGGTCAAAGAGCCCTGGTACACGAAGAGAGGCGGCAGGCTTCACAGAGCTCACCCGAGGACCGAAGCCCTCACTCCCGACCGCAGGTCTCAACTCACCCACGGTGTCGCACGGTTCGTCTTTGTGGACGCAGAAGTCTGTCCTGAAAATCAACAAATAAACAGCGTCAGGTGCCTGTACTGGCGTAAAACAGGGGAGCCCTGGTCAGTGGTCCCACGGTGTCACCGCTCAGAGGATGACAATGAGTAACACACCCGTGACATTTCCAAGGGGGCGAGCCCCACGACACAGACAAGCCCCTCTCACAGCCGACCTGTTCCACACGTGAGGGCGGCTGGAAGAACTGCCAACAGCCGGGAAAGTGTGGAAGGAGACGTCTGCGGAGTCATCGGCAGAGACGGCTTTCAGCCAAAATGGCCAGGTGACAGTGGCTTCCCCAGGCGTGAGGGCGACACAAAAGCCACTTCTATAGTCTGTCCTCTGACTTCCCGGGACATCCCAGTGTGAGGCTGTGGACAACCACCACAGCAAAGACACCCAAGCCCGGGACAGCCCCCGTGCTGCGGTCCGAGGCACTCCCAGCCTCTCTTCCAACAACAGAACGTTCCCAGGGTCAGCAGGACGAGAGCACGCTGGCCTGGGCAGCACGCTGGCCTGGGCAGCATCCTGCCCGGGAGCCCAGCAAGGACAGTGACACCGGGCCCGGACGCTGCCCCTCCTGGGCCCTGCACCCACGTTCTCATGGGGCCTGCAGACAGCACCTGCTCACTCGCACCTGCCGGAACGCACGCAAGTGCACGGTGGACTGGAAAGCTGCATTCTGAAGCCACCTCTCCTTTTTGTTTTCACAAATCTCCTGAGAAGGAAGACGGGAACAGCCAGACAGGAGTGATCCGAGCCAAGCCACGCTGTGCCGTGGGAGCCCTGGGTCAGGCCATGCCTTGGCCTCTCTCGGTGGGTGACATCACCCCTTCTGAGCCCCATCCCTGCCCTGATTCCTCCCCTGCCCCCGGCGGCCCCCTTTCCCAGGAAGGATGACCCGCAGTCACAGTGGGCAACCACAGGGCCCTCACTGCCACTGTCATCCCCACCTCTCCCAGGCATACCCCCATGGCCGGCCAGCACACTTCAGGCCCCTGGGTGCAGCAAGCCCTGTGTGGCCCCAGCCCTGGCTCTGCTTCAGGGATGGGGACTGATCAGGAAGACTCCCCCCCCCCCCCCCGCCCACTCACACCCTCAGATCCCAGATGTGCAGGTCCAAAGCCTCCACTCGGACACCTGAGGTACAGAATCCCAGCGCCAGGCCGCTGCCTGCAGCCTGAGTCAGTCCACCAGGCCTGCACACCCTGCAGGTGACAGCGACCGCATTGAAGCTGTGGCCTGCAGACACACAGACGGGAACTCTGAGCCAGTCACGTCGGCAACTTGCATGGGTTTTGCTTACGGGAAATTTTATCTTCTCATAACACAGATGTATTTGGTAAAGTTTCTGGCCGATGTATCTTTTATTTATTGACAAAATTCACATGTATGTACGGGGCACAATCGATGGAGTACAATGTGATCCCCGTAAACACTGCAACACAAAGAAGTCAAGCTCAGGCCCCAATCCACAACCCCCCACCAACAATGACGTTTCCATGGCAACAACGCTTCCTCCCTGAGCACAGCTCAAGCGCACGTCGCTGTCAACGATGGCCACCACGCTGCCCGGCAGATCCCAGAACTCGATCCAGGTGATCACAAAGGAAAATGTAAACCCAAGGGGACCCCGTGGACAGGGAGAGGGAGCTGCACGGGGAGGCTGCGTGCCTTCACCCTCTGCTGAGGACTCCCTTTCAGAGGACGGGTGAGCAGGTAGAGGTGGGAGGGAGCCGCCTGTTCCCAGAGACAGCAGAGGTGGTGGTGGTGGTCACAGCAGGTGGGCTCCATCTCAGGTTGGCTTTGGATGCTCTCCCCACCCTCTCAGCCAGATCAGCCGGGCTGCGGAGGAACCCTGGGGCGCTGGGTCCACTAAGGAGCCAGAGGCCAAGCCGTGTCAGGTGTTGAGGCCCCTCCGGAACCCTCAGCCTCTGCACGGCCCCCAGGTCCAGCCACACTGAGGTCTTTCCAGCCCCAGACGCCACTGCAGATGAGCCAACCTCTTGTGCTGGGCACGATGACGCTGCACTCTCACCCTCCACAGGTGGCCGCCTGTCGTCCAGGAGACGACACTCCTGCACTCAGCCCCAGGGGGAAGAAGGAGGCACCCTCCCATCGGTGGTCCTAGGCTCAGGATCCAGGGATGCCGTGCCCAGAGCAGTGCCTGGCCAGTGTGACCTCCCACTGCTCACAGGGATTATTCTGGGATGGAGCGCGCGCTTCTCAAGAGCAGTAGCTGCCTGGCACCCACCTCCCTGCCGAGGCGTCAGCTTGTCATCATCGCAGCCCAGGGAGCCAGGGCTCTCCACCGTAATGACTAAATGCTGCCACTGGTCCAACTTGGCGTCTGCCGGCTCTCAGCTCCAGTGCTACCTCCCTGTCCCAGCAGGAGCTCTGTGGTTTTACAGCGGCCAGGACCCCGAGGGCAGGGTTCTGAGCCGCCAGCAGCTCCACAGAAGCAGGTGAGAGGAGTCCAGGCTGCTTAGGTAGGGGCGGGCGCTGTGGCAGAGCAGGTAAACCCGCCACCTGTGACAACGGTATCCCAAGTGGCTGCCAGGTTGTGTCCCGGCTGCTCCACTTCCAATCCAGCTCCCTGCTAATACCCTGGGAAAAGCCCTGGAAGATGTCCCTGGTGCTTGGGGCCCTGCCACCCATGCGGGAGATCCACAAGAAGCTCCTTGCTCCAGCCTGTCCCAACCCTGGCCATTGTGGCCATAAGGGGAGTGAACCAGTGAATGGAATACCCCTCTCTCTTCTCCCTCTTCTCGCTCCTCTCCCTCTCCTCTCTCCTACTGTAACTCTGACTTTCAAGTAAGTAAATGAATCTTTTAAAAAAAGATTACTCAGGTAGCTGGCAGGTGCCAGAGAAATGCATAAGGAGAATGTGAGCTCCTGGGCCAGCCACAGGCCCTGTCCCTGGATGGGAACACCTCCCAGCCCCAGCCCCCTCACCCAGAACCCTGCCCATAGGATCAGGGACTAGCCCCGCTCCAGAGCACTGAATTAGAAAATATTAAATGTATTTTTAATCAGGCAAAGTACAGGTAACATAAGATTTGCCATGGTGACCATCAAGCAGACAGGTGGGGGGGTTTATCACTGCATTCACTTAGGCATCATTCCCTGCTGAAGTCACACCCACCACCTGCTGGCCCCCAGCCCCCAGCCCTACAGCCCCGGCAAACCCCTTTCCACTTCCTGTCTCCCTGTCTGCACTCTAACAGCCTTTGGAAGTGGACTCATTCAGCATCTGTCCTTCCATGCCTGGCTTACTTCATTCCCACTACAGCCCTCCTGGTCCATCTGGGTCGCACAAGCCCATGTCAGAGGCCCAGGCCCAGGCCTGACTGGTAGCCTGCTGCGGCCTCTGTTACACTGGGCAGCTTCCACCTGCTGGCCTTTGGACATGAATGAATGCTATGAACACAGGAGTGCAAATCCCCTGTTGAGACGCAGCTCCAGTCCTTTGGGGTACCTGCCCAGTGGTGGGATTGTCAGACGATACAGCGTCTCTGTTTGTACCTCGTTCAGGGCCATCACGCTCTCCACAGCGCCTGCACCACTGTATTCACTGGCGTGCACAGCGTCCCAGTTTCCCCACAGCCTTCCAACACTTACTCCCTGATGTTTTTTTTAATAGGAGCCATCCTAACGGATAGAAGGCCTAGAGGAGAATGTTTTAGGCAGCAAATGTTTCATTTGTGTTAAGTGAGCCATTAGGAGGCAGGAAAAGACACAGGCAAGAAAGTCTACTGTCGCTCCCCCTCTTCATGGAGGAACGACACTAAACCCTGCCTAGGCTTCGTATCCGAGTCACGGCACCATTATGTCGCTCCCCCTCTTCGTGGAGGAATGACACAGGACCCTGCGCTGTTCTTTCGTCTGCTCGGCCCTCCCCGGGTTTGCTGCTGGTTCTTCCCGGGTTGGCTACCGTCCCTTCCACCTCCGTGGAAGGGCGGCTCCCCCTGGCCACTCTCCCCACTTCCGCAGGGGAGCAGCACACCGCCGGCCGGCTCTCTCAGGGGCTGCACAGGTGTTCCTTCAGATGTTCCCCTTAGATGTTCCTGGTGCATGCCGTCTCTCTCCTCCTTTATAGTCCTCCTCTGCCAATCCCAACTCGGCTGCCCACACGCCGAGTACGCTGCTCTCCTCCAATCAGGAGTAGGTCCTACAGTTTATTGGTTGAACTGGAGGCAGCTGCGTAGAAGCTGTTTTCTCCTCTCCCAGCGCCATATTGTGGGAGAGCAGATGCATAGAATAAGTCTTAATTCCAGTAACTTAGTCTAGTCCGAGTTGCTCCCCACAGTCTACCAGCAAGGGCTCTGGGCCAGGCACGCATTCCCCTCTGCTGACGGCTTTGGTAAAAGGGCCGACCACAGGCAGTGTCCACACTTGCTGGTAACACTACTGCCCCTGGAAAAAGTGCTATTATTCCCAAGTCAGGACCACGTGCGACACCCCAGTGCCTCCCCACCCAGGCAATGAAAGCACAGAGCAGCAAAGACGGGTGGAGGAAAAGTACCCTTATTAACATTTTAAAATAAAATATCAGTTTATACATCTACTTTTTAAAAATTCCACCAGTATCATGTGGGCTACAGCAGGAAATTCATTCTTTTTTAAAGAGTTATTTATTTGAAAGAGTTATACAGAGAGAGAGAGAGAGAGAATCTTCCATCCGCTGGTTCCCTCCCCAAATGGACACACAACGGCCGCAGCTGAGCCAATCTGAAGCCAGGAGCTTCTTCCGGTCTCCCATTCGGAAGAGGGGCTCAAGGCATCCTTATCTGCTTTCCCACACGCATTAGCAGGGAGCTGGATTAGAAGTGGGGCAGCTGGGACTTGAACTGGTGCCCATAAGGGATGCCAGTGCCGCAAGCTGTGGCTTTAATCTGCTGAGCCATAGCGCTGGCCCCGTTTGTACATCTTATGCACTGTGTATAAACACACTTTCCAGTTTGGGAGCTGGGGAGTTCAGCTGCATCATACAGAAACGCATTATTTATAGCTCCCCCCACCTGGAAGCTCAGTCCTATTAATTTATGGTCACACACAGACAAGAGCTCCTGCTTGCTCCCCAAAGTCCACTCCCGAACTCCAACGCTGCAACCCGGAGAGCCTCTACAGGAGAGCCTTGAGTGCCAGCAGCCTCTGGTGATGGAGGAGAGTGGCCAGTGCTGGTGGGGAAGGTGGCAGCTGGGGTCCTGGCACTCACTGGACTGGGCAAGCACGGATCTACAGCCCGAGCCAGGGTGCTTGTCCCTGGGCCCTCAGTGCCTGTGGTGCACTGGGCAAGCCACAGGCAATGAGAATTCTTGGGTGGACTGCTTATTTTTTTTTTAAGATGAATTTATTTATCTGAAAGGCAGAGTTAGAGAGATGCAGAGGCAGAGAGAGAGAGAGAGGTCTTTCATCCGCTGGTTCACTCCCCAACTGGCCGCAACGGCTGGAGCTGTACCCGTCCGAAGCCAGGAGCTTCTTCCGGGTCTCCCAGTCTGGTACTGGAGCCCAAGCACTTGGGCCATCTTCTACTGCTTTCCCAGGCCATGGCAGAGAGCTGGATCAGAAGTGGAGCAGCCGGGACTCAAACCAGCGCCCATGTGGGATGCGGGCACTGCAGCCCCAGGACAGACTGTTTCTAAGATGCCCCAGCATGCATCGGGAGCAGCCCGTGGCCTCACATGGGCTCTGCAGTTACAGGGCACAATCCGGTCCTCTGAGGCTGGTGACTGAGAAGCCACCTACAGGCGTCAGTGGGTGCACAGGCACCTGCTGGGTGCCTGGCGGTGCACTGTGGATGCCCTGGGTTTGCAGCACGGAGCTGCACAGCTTCCACAGCTGGCTCTGGGGGTCACTGGGCTGGGGCTTTGCAGCTCGTGGCCAAACAGACGTAACTAATGAGCCTTTCTTCCCTCAAAATCCAACTGTTAAATAGGATTAAGCTCCTCACAGGGCCAGGTTTCTTCAAAGGTAAGAAAAGGATAAAGTTTCCCTTGCATAACTTCACCCTAAACTCAGGAGAAAAAAAAACCTATGTACTTAGGGAAACAGTTCCTTTAAATTAAAAACGAACAAAGCCTAGGGGTCAGCACTGTGGCACAGAGGGATAGGGTTAAGCCACCACCTGCGATGCCAGCATCCCATATGGGTCTGCTTCTGCTACGGTGCCTAAGAAAGCAGTGGAAGATGGTCCAAGTTCTAGGGCCCAGATAAAGCTCCTGGCTTTGCTTGGCCATTGTAACCATTTGGGGAGTGAACCAGCAGATGGAAGATTCTCATCTCTCTCTCTCTCTCTCCCCCTCCCTCCCTCGCTCTCCCTTTAATTACCTTTCAAGTAAATAAATAAATCGTAAAATAAATAAATAAATAAAAGAACTTCCAAAAAAAAGTAGCTCTAGGACCCTGGTGACACTCAGCGTTACCAACGTTACAGAAATGTCCCTCAGGGGGCCTGTGCCACAGATGCACCTGTGGTGTTTGAACTGCATCCCTCAAACGAGATCCGGTCACGTCCTAACCCCAGCACCTGTGAATGTGACCACGGAGCCCAGTGAAGACCTGGTCACACTGGGCTACGGTGGCCCCAAGCCAATGGTCAGTGTCCTTCTTGGAGGAGTTTGCACAGAGAGACACACGCAGGAGAAGGCCATGGGACAACGGAGCAGAGATGGGACGGGCGCATCTACAGCCAGTGCAGGCCACACACTGCCAGGAACGGATGGAGGAAGAACCCAGCCCCAGGGCCCTCAGGGAGAGCGGGCCCTGCCAGCTCCCCAATTCAGAACCTCCAGGCTCCAGAACAGCGAGGGGTAAGTTCCCGCAGGTTTAAGTCTCCTGCTTGGTGTTCATTCGCTATGGCAGCTAACGGGGCAGCGCCGCCTCCTGGCTCGGAGGCTGCCAGTGACGCACACTGTCCACCACGGGGCCCCAGCTTCCCTCAGTCCAGTCCTGTGGCCTTTAACGAAGCTCGGCTCCCAGCTTCCAACAGAGGCTCCACGTGGCCCCCTGCCGGTGTCCAGTGTGCCCGTGGGTGGCCAACATGCAGGCAGGGCCGCCGTGGCACACGCATGTCTGCATGGCCTCCTCCCCCACGGGGCGCTCATGGTGCCCGCACTCCCGGAAGCAGCTTCGCCAGAGGCCAGCTCTTCCCAGGGAGCGTTTTCATCGGTAGTAGGAGACGTCACAGGGGAATTTTTCACGTGCAGTTGGAAGACTTGGTCATCCTAGGATTTCAGCATTTTTCCGAGAGCAGTACTAGCTAATGCGCTGAGCTGGGCTGTGGCGAGGGCTGCCCGTGCACTAAATCACTCCCCGCCCCCCTGCCAGGCGGTGGACTCCTCCATTAACCCCCGTCACTGACCAGGACACGGACGTGTAGGCAGAGGCCCTACACGACGACTGTCCCCTCCCACGCATCAGCCACGGGCCACGCCCACTCGTACCTGGTCACAAACACGGCGGCGTCCACAGGGGGCGTGTCGTCCTTCCCGCCGGGAACCTGGTTGCTGCCCAGGTAGCGTGCGCCCCCGTACTCCTCGTTTTGCCAGTGACAGAAGCTCTCCAGGGACCGCTCGCCGTGGTGCCCAATGGACAGCTTGGCCTGGAGGACATCGGGGAACAGTTAGAGACGTGGCCACTTGGGGAAGCAGAGCTCATGCCCAGCCTGCAGACACTGAGGTGGAAGAAGCCGCCCGCTGAGTCATCCTGCAAGGACCCACTGCATCCACACCGAAGAGAGAACCAGCGGGCAGGTGGCAGCGACAGAGAGGCCACCCCAAGGTCGAGTGACGAACATTTTCAGAGAAAATCCTCTCTCTCTGCAAACAGAACAGTGACCCTAACTAAGCCGCCTCCCTCAAGGTCATGTTCATCGCCGGACTCTGCAGGTCAGTCTGCCCCGTGGGAGGGCACCACGTGGAAAAGACAAACACTTCTCTGAATGCACACTGGAGCAGAGACCAGCGTGGCGACAGAGGGAAGCCACAGGTCCGAGGACCTCAGGTGGAGACCCGAACGTGTCTGAATCCCGCTTGCTGCCGGAGTGGAGGGCAGAGTGGGAGCCACGTGCGAGACCCTCCCGGGTGGAGAAGGCGCAGGATCCCGGTGCTGGGTTCCCTGAGGTCCTACACCACCCAGGCCCACACCACCCCCATGACAGGCCATGCACGGAGAGCGAGCAAGACACACACGGGATTCTCAGAAAGTCCACAGAAGCATGGAACATGAAAACACTACACATGGATTCCCAACTGTCTGGCATTAAAGTCAACTGATCTTTTAATTTCTGCAGACAGTGTGGGGTACCCTCTCCTGACCCCGGGAGCCAGGGGGACGCTCTGAGGGCAGCCACGCTGCCCATGCACTCACAGGTGTGGGGTACCCTCGCCGGAGCCAGGGGGACGCTCTGAGGCCAGCCACGCTGCCCACGCACTCAGCAGGTGTGGGGTACCCTCACCTGGCCTCAGGGGCCAGGGGGATGCTCTGCGGCCAGCCACGCTGCCCACGCACTCACAGGTGTGGGGTACCCTCACCTGGCCCCGGGAGCCAGGGGGACGCTCTGAGACCAGCCACACTGCCCACGCACTCACAGGTGTGGGGTACCCTCACCTGGCCCCAGGAGCCAGGGGTATGCTCTGAGGCCAGCCACACCACCCGCACACTCAGCAGGTGCAGGGGGTGTGGGGTACCCTCTCCTGACCCCGGGGGCCAGGGGGACGCTCTGAGGCCAGCCATGCTGCCCGCACACTCAGCAGGTGCAGGGGGTGTGGGGTATCCTGGGGGCCAGGGGGACGCTCTGCCGCCAGCCACACCGCCCACACACTCAGCAGGTGCAGGGATGTGGGGTACCCTCTCCTGACCCCAGGAGCCAGGGGACGCTCTGCTGCCAGCCACGCTGCCCACGCACTCACAGGTGTGGGGAACCTTCTCCTGACCCCAGGGGCCAGGGGGACGCTCTGCCACCAGCCACGCCTCCCGCACACTCAGCAGGTGCAGGGGTGTGGGGTCCCCGGGAGCCAGGGGGACACTCTGCCGCCAGCCACACCTCCCGCACACTCAGCAAGTGCAGGGGGTGTGGGGTACCCCGGGGGCCAGGGGGACGCTCTGCTGCCAGCCACACCACCCGCACACTCAGCAGGTGCAGGGATGTGGGGTACCCTCTCCTGACCCCGGGAGCCAGGGGGACGCTTTGAGGCCAGCCACGCCTCCCGCACACTCAGCAGGTGCAGGGGTGTGGGGTACCCTCTCCTGACCCCGGGAGCCAGGGGGACGCTTTGCGGCCAGCCACGCCTCCCGCACACTCAGCAGGTGCAGGGGTGTGGGGGAGGGGTACTCACCGGACGCTGCTGCAGCAGCACCAGCTTGGTGACCTGGATGTTGACCTTAATCCCAAGGCTCTGGTGCTGAAACATGTTGTACACCTGCCAGGACAGGGGAAACACACAGACACGAAAAACAAAGTAAACACCCCACGTAGAAACTTGGAACAGAGGAGAGAAGCCAGGTACGAATTAAGGCCGTCGGACCAACTGATGATAAAATACACCAGTCCTAAAGAGACGAACACCACGTGTTTTCCCTGATGTGCGGTAACTAACAGAGCACCCAGACTGACGAGTGGGCGTGAGGTGGACAGGCTGAGATCCGATGCCTGTCCACAGCCCTCATCTCCACGGTGCTCTTCTCTCCTATTTGGTGAACTCTTCACTCAGTGACTTAGTGTGGGGTCGATCTTAGCATCATCAGGAGGAGATCACTGCAAAGAAAGAGGGACTGAGAGTGGGAGGAGGAAGGAGGGTGTGGTGGGAAGTACTATGTTCCTCCGTCTGCATAAATACATGGAATTCATTCACCTTAAAAAGTGTTAATAAATAAATAAATCTGTTAGGGGAAAAAGATGTTAAGGACAGGGAAAGTGGCCGGTACTGTGGCATAGTGGGCTAAGCCTCTGCTGGCGGCACCATATGGGCACTGGTTTGTGTCCCGGCTGCTCCTCTTCCTATCCAGCTCTCTGCTTATCCAGGAAAGCAGTGGAAGACGACCCAAGTGCTTGGGCCCCTGCACCCATGTGGGAACCCTGTTTGAAGCTACTGGCTTCAGACTGGCTCAGCTCCAGCCATTGTGGGTGTTTGGGGAGTGAACCAGAGGATGGAAGATCTCTCTCTGTAACTCTACCTCTCAAATAAATAAAATCTTTAAAAAAAAAAAAAAGGAACAGGGAAAACTGAATGGGACTCTCTTCCATAATCTTCTCACTTTTTCTCAAAATCTAAATAGTTCTAACATAAATTCCATTCATGAAAACTGTAATACTTTAAGATTCAATATTGAAAGTACAGCTTGTATTCACCCAGTACTACAGGAAAATCTACAGAAGCCTAATTATCTGTAATTCAAATTCCAATGTTCTCAGGTGAAGTTTTATTGTTGGACAAAAAAAGTACAAATATGTGAGAAACACAACCTGGATTTTATTAAAAAGAGGCTTTCTGAGACCAAAATCTCCCATTAAAGGAATTCCCCCAAAGAAAAATGCATCACAGAAAACTCTGGATAGACACAGACACGTGTGCACACGGAGACACACACGGGTGCGTGTGGACGCAGACATGCAAAGCTGGAACCAACGGCTTTCAAACAACGTCTGAGGGGCTGCAGGGGACCTTCAGGGAGGGAAGGGGAGACCGAGGCCACTGCACGCAGCCTGCTCCATCTCCAAGCCTCCCCAGAACCCCCTGAGGTCCTCCCCCTGCCGGCTGCTACGGGGAACCCCAGGAAAGAGGCCCCCAAAAGAGCCAGGAGCAGCTGAAGACCCACAGCCCTCAACAAGGAGCTGGCTGGAACGCAGCTTGTGCAGCCAGGAGGGCCACCCCCCTGCCGTGTTCCAGAAAGTTCTCTCTCTAACAAGGTCGTCCCTGAGACAAATGAGAAAGGGATGCATCCTCGCAGTCCTGCATCTTGGTTGGTGACCCTCGGCTCCAGGGACCTCAGCATCAAGAGGCCAACGAGGAATCAAGTGGACAGGGACAGATCCTCCCCGGTTCCTTTTCCAAGTATGGGGGCGGCGGGCAGGGGACAGAGGACAGGACGAGCGCCTCCCCAAGCCTCTGCAGGGTGCTCCCCCACACGGGGGCTGTGGAGAGCCGCCCAGCAGGCGTCGGAACTCCGCCCGGGTTGTGCCATGGTCACGCCATCAGTGCAGCAGCGAGAGCGGCAGAGGGGTGGCCACTGCCAGGGTCACTTCAGGCCAAGCGGAGCTGCTCAAGGACCCAGCACTCAGCCCACAGCTGGGGGAGCGGGCACAGTGTTCAGGCATCTGCATGACAGAGGAATGAGCTGTGTCGCCGGCATCGAAATCTGCTCCCAGCATTCCAGAAAAATCTATCTCAGTGCGACTTACTCTCTCCCAGGGGGAAAAAGAGAACGCGTTCAACTGTTGCGTTCTCACTCCCCTCACCACTGCCGAAGAAACCTTTTCCTTGCTCAAGAACCAAGCACTTCAAAAACAAAATGTACGGTTGCCCCTCTTCCAGGCCAGCTCTCTGCTGTGGCCAGGGAGTGCAGTGGAGGATGGCCCAGGTGCTTGGGCCCTGCACCCCATGGGAGACCAGGGGAAGCACCTGGCTCCTGCCATCGGATCAGCGTGGTGCGCCGGCCGCAGCACGCCGGCTGCGGCAGCCATTGGAGGGTGAACCAACGGCAAAGGAAGACCTTTCTCTCTGTCTCTCTCTCTCTCTCACTGTCCACTCTGCCTGTCAAAAAAAAAAAAAAAAAGTGTGAGAGATCCTCACAGCCAGGTGACATCTAAGGAGACCTCGTGAGGAAATGTCACGTGGTCTTCTCGCTGGGACTTGGAAGAAAATCTTGGTGCTCCGTGGACTTGAACAGCTGTGTGTCTGCCCTGGTGCTGATGGTGACAGAGGTATTGCACTAACGTAAGACGGTCCTAACACGGAAGCATGGAATGAGGGCAGGCATGGGGCCGGGCCACAGGGGGTGGGGGAGGCCCACGTCCCTCAAGCTCCAACACAGAGTACAGGGCAGGGCAGACACACCCGGTCACCCCTCCGGGCCCTTCATCCAGGAACAGCCTCGGAGCACCAGGGCCAAGCCGCACAGACATGCCCGCCATCTTCCAGCTGCTTTTTCCCATGGAAACTCATGCTCTGCTCAGGCCGAGCCCCGGAAGCCACCTGGTGTTTGGAGAGACACCCGGCTGGGCGTGGAACAGTCTGGCCAATCGCATGGACATCCCGCCTCCTGTGTCCAGCTCTGGCCGCGTGGCAGCGAGCGCTCAGAGCCCCGCGGCGAGCCGGGTGGACCTGCTGCCGGCAGCACACAGCGGCAACGTGGGGACGCGGTCAGCAGCCAGGGGAGGAGGGCAGGTGGGTAGGAGCTGCTTATCCCGCCAGATTTTCACAAGCCACCCTCACCTGTGCGACCCTGAGCTTGCCTAGGACAGACAGGGACTTGTGGCTGGACACTCAGGTCCCACACAGACCACCAAGAGCCCGGACAGGATGGGGCTGCCTTCTGTGGCACAGCGCCTCCAAGTGGCACCTGTCAGAAACGCACCCTCGGGACTCACTCTGGGCTTTGACACTGCTAGTGTCTCTGGTCACCATGGAAGCTACTGTCATTTCATGTGGACGCTGAGTAGAACAGTCGTTTCCGCCCCAGGCACACCTTGCCTGGAACGTCCCGGGGTTTTCATGCCCTTCCCTGGTCACCAAGGAAGACACAGAACAACCGAAGCTCTGTCGGGTCCCTGAGGGTGCCTGGTGTCGGCACCACCTGCTTCCATCTGCAACTTGTTCTTTCAAACACTCCTGCCCCCGTGTCTGTCCCCGCTGCCCCAACCCAGGGGCGATCGGCTGCAGGTTGTGCAGAACGGCCCCCAGCACAGCCAGACAAGCTGCAGCCGCCCACCCAGCCCATCATCCTAACCCACCTGCAGGACAGGTGGGTGGCGCTCAGCATGGCCTCGTGCGCCCAATCTCCAGGGCTCTCCTCTTGCCAAAGCGCAACCCTGCACCTGTGACCCGTGCAGCCCTGCCCCGCCCCACTCCTCCAAGCTCCAGCCCCGGCAACCACACCACTCCAGGGACCTACCACGTGCACAATCTTGCTTCACTCAGCACAGCACCAAGGGCCAGGCACACTGCTGTGTCCCGGTGAACTTTCTTCCCTTTTCAGGGCTGAGTAATGTTCCACTGCCCACAGGGGCCATGTGTTGGCTGCACACACAGCCGTCAATGACCTGGGTCGCTTCTACCTTCCAGTCACCATGATTGCTGCCATCACAGACCTGCGTATGCAAATGTCCCTGAGACACTGCTTTCCACCACGTGGGAGGTCATTCGAGCCCACCTGTCACACGCTAGCTTCAGAGGGCTACACGCTCGGCTGGGGCACGGCCTGAACCTACCACTGTGTCCACTGAAGAACAATTTCTCCCACGGGGTGAGCTTTGGGGGAAGGCAGGGGCCCTCACTGCACGGTGGAAACCAGAGTGGGCGCAGCCTCAGTCTGCCCGGCCCAGCAGCCCAGGACTGGGGGGCAGAGCCTGTTCTGGGAGCCCTAGGGATTGGACCCCTGCGGGCAGGGCTGGCGGGTGGAGGGGCAGTGGCCATCAGCACGCAGCAGTGCCCGACGGCCCTGAACTTCACCTTGACCTCTCCTGCTGCCTGGTCTCCCCGAGTCCCCTCCCCTGGACCTTCTTCCAGCTCCAGGCCTGGTGACTCAGCCCCCACCCGGCTTTGGTGCAGGACACTGCCCTCTGCACGGCCCAAGACGCGGTCCCTTTTCTCCATGGTTTGCTCAGATCCAGTCTCTTGCTGTCGTCAAAAGCCCTGACTGACACGGACCTGCGCTTCCTGCCCTGAGTTTGCCAAAACCCCTCCTCTGCTCCCTGTTCAGAGACGAGGCCACTATGTACCACAGCCCAGCACTCTGGCGCCTGCCCCACGCCACACGGGTCCTCGACAGCGGCTTCTCCCGTCGCTCTGGGACTGCTCCAGCGGACACGGCTAGAGTTGCTGCACGTCCAGCTCCTGTTAACACAATCCTGTCTCCTCACCCTCACACCGCCATCCTTGACAGGCAAGGGGCAACCTGACGGACTGGCTGCAGGCCCTGCCCGTCACCCAGGGCCCCGCCCCAGGGCTGGGTAGGAAGGGTAAATCCGCATTGGCTGTCACATACCCACCCGTGCCGCCCAAGCTCAATGTGCTGTGTTCTGTGTGATGCGTGGGATGCAAGAGACTCCACCAAAGCCTGTGCAGAGGATGTCACGCACACAGTTACCCGCTTGAGTCCTCATAGCCCAGACTCCACACACACTGCTGCGTCATGTCCTGCGTGCAGGCCAACCTCAGGGTAAACGCTGGGAAGACAGAGTTTTTAATTGTGGTGAAATACA